GTATATTTTCTTTCTTCTATAATTTTCACTGAAAGATGTTTAAACTGAGTCATAGTTGGGCACTTATCATTTGTTTAAGTTCAGCTTAGGCATGAGCTGTTGAGACCACTTCATGACTTCAAGTGTGTTAGAAAGATACTTCGATTAATTAGTCTATAGCACCATATGATATATCAGCACCTATTAATCATACTAAAGTGATTGAATATCTCGACTCGAATCTGAACCACAGTTACTGCTTGTCTGTTAATACAGTGTAATTCCCTCAACCTTGTTACTTGCACTGTGAGACCAACTCCACCCGCCCCAGCATTGAGTTCAGATCACCACCTTCCTTATTTTCAACTACATCCACAATGAGTTGCATATAGTCGAACCATAAGAAATCATCATTTTCTGGGTTATTCCACTCTCCAAACTCAATAGAAACTATGTTCTCACTATCGGTCCGATAATTCTCTCCCAATTGGGTCCCGTCTTCAGCTTCCCAAATGACAGCCCGTCCTCATCAAGAACATACGACACATCTAGCGTCTCTGATCGACTGACGACAGACCAAGTCCATCTTGCTGGAAGTGCCGGCACTACCGGTCCTCGTATAATACAGTCAGACTTTCCAATCTATTAGGGTTCAAAATGCGGTCTATCTTCTTCAAATTTTACCAGTCTCACCGCCTCAAGGTTGCTACCCGTCCTCGCCGGATTTGGCCTCTCGCTTCAGTCAGAATGTATTCTCAGAGACCCTCATGGCTAGAAGTATGTTGCAATGACGCAAGGCCGACCCCTACACTTTTTGCGTGGAACCTGTCAAACCTTGCTTCTTACGATGGTTCTAACCCTTCAACATCATCTGCTTCTGGTGATTCCGACAAGCGGATCTATGTCCTCGGAGTTGGTAACTTGGGCCGCCTCTTCGCAAGTTCACTGGCCCAAGCGCCTGACAAGCCCCCGATCACATTGGTTGTTCACAGAAAGGAGCTCTTGGAGCGATGGATCGAGAGTGAAGGTATCGAAATCTTGCGTCAGGGCACACTGGAGAAGAACAAAGACTTCGATATTGAATGGTGGACAGAGACTGAGCCAGATTTTGGCCCAGTGCGAGAGGTCGCCGAGGGCGAAAAGCTAAAGAACCTCATCGTCTTGACCAAGGCTTCGGCTGCCCTGCCACAAGTTGACCGAGTTCGAGGATACCTGGACCGAAACAGTACTGTATTATTCGCTCAAAACGGAATGTCGAAACTATGGCCTCCTCATGGATCCTTATATGTTTCCCATCGCTATCATAGCAGCCATGAGCCCAACTTTCTAGCTTGTGTTACAACGCATGGAGTGACATCCCAGGGAACATTCAAAAGTTTTCATGCCTCCCAGGCTGATGTTGTCGTCGGAGCAGTTCTCCCGAACTCCATTTCACTAGGGAAGACAGCTTACTTAGTCAAACAGATACTGGAAGCGCCTTACTTAGAGGCTAGGTCTGTGCCTAGAGGAGAACTTTGGATTCTGCAATTGGAAAAGCTCGTCGTTAACGCGGTAATCAACCCTTTGACAGCTATTCTGGGGTGCAAAAATGGAGCTCTATTCACTGAATCGGATGGAGTGCTTGCACGAGTCATTGACCAGCTTCTAAGCGAAGCAAGTCAAGTGCTCCAACTTCTAGTGGCCCACGAGAGCAGCGCAGAAATCATTGGACGGCAGGAAGGGCGTCTACCAGACGAGCCTGAGACGACCATCGACCTCTCCCCCGAGAGCCTGCATGAAAGATTCTCCCATCCGCAGCTGAAGGACATGATCTATCGGGTGGGTCACAAAGTTAGGGAGAACACAAGCTCCATGCTGCAAGACGTGCGTGCCGGCAGATCAACCGAGATCAGGGACTTCAACGGCTGGCTAGTTGAGATGGCAGCCTTCCTAGACCCGGAACTAGACGTTACGGGCCACGGCACCTTGGTCGAGCTGGTGGAGGCTGGCAGAACCCTAGATGTGGATCAACTCGGAAGTTGCTTCAACGGTTCCGGGACAGATGCAGGAAAATGATGACAGAGTCATGGCTATTGGAGATCCGGGGACGTGCCCTCATCGGTTGTGGTCAATCCAACTTCCCTCCACACATTGGATGAGCATGGGCCATGAGTGTTGTCCAAATAGGCACCTGGCAGATATTGGCTGACAAGGGTTGTGATCGGCTCCGGGCCAACGTCTAGATCCTTGCAAAAGAAGCCAGCACGAGATAATGAATTAACAAGGCTCTCATCCGCATTGGGGGATATGTCCTGTCGCATTTGACAAGGCGACTGGGAATTCCCGGAAGTGGCGTGTTTCGTTTCGTTTTGTTTGGCTGCGTTTGTTTCTTCCTCGGTCTCGATTACCAGGGTCTAAACTCAACCCAACTTATAAGACTCAGTGATATAGGCCATAAGACAGGTGGTTATCGACTCGCGCTAACCCTCTCGAAAACTGCTCTGCCAACCAGATGAAACAAACGTTTTAAAGCCCATCTCTCTCGTGGGGCGAAAAAGAAACATGCAGGCATCTTAACCAAGTTCAGCGTCGCAATGCATCATCACCAAACACCGCCGTCATCGACCCAACCTCCCTCTCTATCCATCCATCTCTGGCCGATGTGACCTGAAAACTCAGACCGTTATAGCCCTGGGATGGGTCAAAAAGTCTCGGTCGACGGGGGGTTGACAAATCCATGACCAAGACTGGAAGGGGGTGTTGTGCCCCAAGTTTTATCACGCATCGTCAGTGTAGCAACCGGGACTTGAAGCCAGTTTCAAGCCTAGTTTTTCACAGATCGGGCAGTCTACTTTATGATATTATGCAGTACCTACATCAAGTCAACAACATCAGCCAGCCATAATGCCTCGCTTAGAGACTGCACATCGGAGATTTCGAAAGAGATGTTTCAGCGGCGGTAACCTTCTATGTTCCCCGGCTCTCCGACATGTAGGTACTGTTATCTTGCTTGCTAGCTGTGATGAGATGTGGCACAGCTACTGCTCTTTCATGCTCAGCTCTGAAATGACCTCGATAGCCGTGGTTCGAGACGACCTCAACCCCGGAGCATGAAGATCGTCCAAACACAGCAAGCTACGCGACTTACATCTTGTGTTACCTCCTCTCGACCGCTGGACAGCTGCACTTGGCGTCGTGTGACCGCTCAACGCGTCTCTTACAGACGCGCGCTCGCACATGCATACATACTGTCCCATTCCTGCTCACCTCCCAACACGTCACAATGAGACACCACGCAGCTCGTCACAAAGCCAGCACGCATCCGCACCCGCATATCTGAATAACTGTTACTCTCCGTAGCTCCAGCTCAAAAAACGCCATCGTTTAGCGCCGTGACTTGCATCCCATGCGGTGTAATGCAACAAGTTAATCAGAACTAGGCGGGTCCTTCTCTCAAAGTCAGGCAAACAACAAGTACTATCAACTCATCCATCACAGCCAAGATCGGGCCTTCTGTACTCTTCTGGTCATATAGCCTGTCGACAAAGTACTATGGTATTAACATCACGAGGACACCGGTGGGATGGACTCGACCGCCTTAAAGCCACAGGTGACATGACACCCAAAGGGCCCTTTGCCCTCCGTTTCATCGGCTCCATCCGCTCACTGGCAGCCTTTCTTCAGGGTTGGCCCCCGCCAGTCGGCAACCATGGCAATTGTGCCGTACAGCACTGTCTGTACAGATAGCTACGTGGCAAGGTCCCGCCTTACCCTACCTATATCATAACTGATCGCAGCCTATACATACATGCCTACATCTCATGGGCAGGGACGAGATGCGCGGAGTGTGGCAGGGATTTAAAGCATAAACACTTTCGTTTCGTCTAGCTCAACTGTGGAGACCGGTTCCGGTGAGACAAAGCATGCAAGGGGGTGCTCTGAGCCAGATCCGAGGGAACCTTTGCAGTTTGGGCGTTATATCTTGTTTCAAGGCTTCAATTATAGGGCATCAGAACGTTCGGAGTCGAGGTGAACCGGCTCCATTTTCTCATCTTTCTAGCGTCACTACTCTGGACCTGAGAGAGAGGAGCCTCATGGCGTGATTCTGATGATGATCAAGCAGATCTTGTCTTCTATTATCTAGCGCCTTCGTCTTCCAAGTGTTCCTGAATCATGGCACCCCGATAGCTATTTTGGACTTCGTCTCCCGAATCCGAATCCAACCACCCCAGCCCCAGCCTTTCGTGCTCTACGCTTACATGCTCCGTTTCCTCTTCTGTGGTATCAAGAAACATCACAATATGCTCCTGTTCGTCCGTCATTCTACATACACAAACCCGAAAATACGCTGCGCCAAAAAAGGAAACCTGCTCCGCCGATGATCCTGCTTTTGCTCCCATACATAAATGATTAAGAGGTAGAATATAGTTATAAGATAAGAGTAATAAGTGACAAGAAAGTGTGATCAGCCACATATCCCAAGCGATTGGACGGTTTCCCCTGGCTGAAGGATGGGGAACATTAAGTGCATGTAAATAATTCTTTCTCCTTTTCCGGGGCTCCCAGGTCTATAGTTTTTTCGTAAAGCGACATAGGAGATCATAGACGTAACAAAATGGAATACAAGACAATTTTTGAGAAAGGGAATGGGGAAGTGAAGTATGATTAATGTTAAAAAAAGGGTTTGTGACAAAAAAAAGGCCAGTCTCGAATACGAAAGAACAATGAAACGGCCTGTAAGCACGGAACAAAAGAAATTAATACAGGGGTAAAAGAAACAAGTCGTGGGTGCGTTGTGCACTACCTGGGCTGAAATCGGTGTGCTCAGATCAACAACTCTAGAAGAAGGCCTTGGGGTCGTTGATAAAGTTGTCGTGATGGTGATTATGTTGGCTAGAGCAGCCAGATGCAAAAGCGAATGTGTTTGGGCGTAGGTCGAATGATCGTAAAGAAATAAGGAGCGTTCTGAAAGGAGAATATGGTGTTTTTGATGCGTCGCAATTATAATATGAACCCTCCGCTGGCACAATTATTTTTCTTTATTATTGAAGCTGATGATGGGAATATAAGGGCTCTTCGGATTCTGCGTTTGAGGCTACAGCTGGTGATAATGACTGTGACAAAGCCGCCAAAGTTGCTGGATCCTCAACCATTAGTTGCTCAGCCCGTTCTCGACACGCTGCAGGAGTAAAGCCGGTGCCAACTTTATTGGCTACGATTCTCCATTTCTCGTTTTCGTAGTCCTGAAGGGCAGTTCGAAGCTTTTGGTCCTAGAAAGAAAGTCAGAAAATTCCTCAACCACACCACCATGTTTAGGGGGTAGTTTGCAGGTTAACGTACCGTCTCGTCTGTCCAGTTCGTTGTTTTGGCTTTGAGCTTCGTACAGTATCGAACTTGTAATGTCCCTGAAGATCGTCCTGGAAAAAAGTCTGCGATTTGCTTCCACGTCAAGTTCTTGTTTTCCTTCAGTTCGATCAACAGCTGGTCGTCTTCTGGCGTGAACTTCAGTTTAGGTCCTCGGGGGCGAGGTGCTGGATCCGGCATTCCGATTTGTCCCACAACGCTTGGAGCTCCCCCTAAGCCGTCATCGCGGCGCATCATCTTGGAAGGTGGCTCCGAGTCGGGGAGATGGTGGTGGTGATGTATAGGCTGGTGTTGAGGCTGTGACACTGCGACGGCGGCAGCGTGAGCATATGCTGCTCCCAAAGGTGTATGTTGCATGCCACTGAGATCCGAATGGTCCAAGTCAGCCATTCCTGTAACAGATAGATCAAGATCACTGGGTCGTGGCCGCTTAGAGCCGGGTGGAGGCACAGAATGCTGAGGGTGATTCGGTGGTGTTGGGGTCGAAAGAGTCTGGTACATAGGCGCCATGACTTGTCCTGGGGCTCCAAACTGAGGCGGTCCCAGACGATGGTGCCCTAGATGAGAAGGGTCCATGACCATCTGCGGTGATGGATGCTGATGGTGTTGAGCCATTGCTGCGTGCTGGACATGAGGGTTTCCGTGATGCGGGTCGGGAGTGCCATGAATACCAGCAGCCGGGCCTCCTGGATGGTGAATAGAGGCCCGAGGCTGCTGGTGTCGTGAACGCTGATGGAGTGACGTATCATATGCTTGCTGATGTTGATTTTGCTGTCCTGATTGTGAGCCCTGACCCGAGTAGTCCACGGTATAATCCCCCACTCGATAGGTGCCCGCCAGCGTGCCTCCGATACATGAGGTCCTCCAGAGCGAACCGCTCTGGACGGCCGCTGGGCTCTGAATGGAAAGAATTTGACAGGATGAAGCCCTTGCGGGCTACGGCGAGGAAGAGAAAGGGTTATTTAGTGGTGTCCAAAACGGTGTGATTTGTGTGCGTCGAGCTAGGCTTCTGGGTATTGTATTTTGCGTCTGAAGTGTAAGTCGATAGCGTTACTAGCTACTAAGCAGCTTGCCACATATATTGTCTGAATTTTCACTGATTGGTACCGGGCCAGAGGCTTTCCCGTTTCCGTAGCTGAGTGAGACGCTGGTGACTGGCGTTGGAGGGCCGTGTTGGGGGGGTGAGCTCAGGCAGGAGTTATAATAGTGTAACGGTTGTGAGAAGTCCAAAGGAGTGTGTTGAATGCGCATTCAATTCGAAGCTGCTGTCTCGAGAGAAGGCATAAGAGAAGGACTTTGATTAGGATGAATATTATTATGACATACCACCACTGCATGGAGTAAGGCAGTCGATAGGAAAGCGAGTTTGTCGAAGCGGTAATGCTTTATTTTGTATGATAGAATACGTCCCCTCACAAGATCTCTTTTAGCTCCCGGCCTGGGGTCAGTAAACGTATTTAACACAAGGGCTAGTAACCTGGCAAGCGTTGCCAGTACCAGGGCAGGCCTATATCGTCTGATGACGGAGTAGCTAGAGCAGGGTCGCAGAGGGAGTGGATCACTGGCCTCTCTGCGTTCATGCTGCAGGTTAAAGCACTTGGAGATTTTGCCCAGTCCGGTATGAGCACAATCCCCGTCCGACAAGTGCTGGGCTGCGGAGACTACCTGTTAACCAAGGCCAGGGTCTGGAGGGTGGTCAATTTGACGATCTTATGTCCATTGCAAGGTCTCCAGGGTGCCTGATATAGAAACAAGAGCCACCCCTGGCATCCATCATGACTAGCAAGGATAAGAGCACAATGCAATAGCATTGCTTTGAATACAAGCTCTCCCGATTAGATGGCAATTTCCCCTGCACATACTCTGTAGAACAATTAGGAAAATGTACCTCTGCTGGAAAAGATGACACAGAAGGACGGTGGGCGGAGGTGCTTATTGGGGCACAATGCCAACTTGAAACGCGCTTCGCTTGAAGAGCGTGAGACTAGACCACACTGAGGTGGCCAAGAACAGCCGTAGAAACACAACAGCAAAACGGCCATTGTCAGGTTTTTCGTCGCCTTTCCAAAGAAAGAGCCACAGAGAGTGGGTGCCGAGCTGATGGCGTGGCAACAAGGGAGAAAACAGCTCTGGTGCTTGGTGCAGGACAGGAGTAACGGTGTGGAGCGGAGGGTTATAACAAACCCAGGGTTTGCTATAGTAGATGGCTCAACCAGGATCGTGTCTATCAATTGGACTAGATCGCAAGCAGAACCATCTCCACTGTCCGGGAACCTCCGTTTGGCAAATCTGGATGGTAAAGCAGGGAGAAACCCATCATGGATGGACGAGTGTGCAGGCCGGGTTGTCGGGGCTGGTCCAGATTTGATCAATGTGAGCGCACGCCATGATGTTGTTCCGCACAAGCTAGATCGACATCCTGGTTAACGGTGGCTGGATTGAACAAGCTCCCGCACTAAAGTCAGGGACCAGATACGTGCAACAGTCAACTAACAACTGCCTAGAGCTAGAAGTGGCCTCGCGGCTCATGGACAGGGCGTACCTGGCTACGTGAGCATGGGCCATGTCCAGCAAACGGGAAAATCGACCCTGCAAACCGATTATCTGGATCACTAAATAGGGGAGGGCTGAGAGGAACGGTAACGGGCAGCGACATCCACATCAGAATTGGTGACCGAGATGAGTCTGATAGTGACTGCCTTGGCAAGATAATGGATGCAAATGAGAGCTTCTGGTAAAGGCCATGACGCCGAAAAATATGGGAACTCAGACATATGCGCAGATGCTTGCTTGTCTGAGAAGCATGGAGCTGTATGCGATGCGATACTGCATCAGGCTGGACCTACCCGGTCCTGAGCCGGGACCAAGATAGAAAATGTGTGTTGGCTTGAAACCTGACGATATGTCAAAAGGATGAACGCCCCATATCGAGGCCGCTATCGACAGTGGCTGGTGCTGGTGCGTGTGCCCAGAACAGCCCTATTGAGCGGGCATTGACATTCCGTTCGGAGTGCCCAAGATTGCGCTGTTCAATGCCTCATGCCAATCAATCAGACGGCCCTTGGAAGGCGTGCATCGCGTAGGGTAACAGGCGTTTTGAAGTCGAAACACGCATGATGTTGAGGCCGAAAAGAGCCTGGGGATCCGGCAAGACGGTGTTCCGGCGGCAGGGACGCATTAACAAGCATCTCCTGATGTGCGAGTGTGACAAGTCAAGTCGAGTCAACGGTTTTGTCACTGTCATGGTCGTCATGAACGAGACGTCAATTGGGGGATCGGATGCCAGGACCCCGGTTCAGGAACAGGAACAGGAGGTCGGGAATGACCTTCTAGAAGGACCTTCTAGCGCCTACAGGGCCTTGTTGGGAGTCGGGACCTTGGCTAGCGTACAGGACCCTAGTTGCTGGTGGAGCGGAATGAGCACGCGCCGCCCTGAGTGTGATTGAAGATGGGCAATAGTGGATGTAAGTCGTCGGACGGTAACTCCTTAAGGATATCCGGCGATGAATGGGCTGAACTTTGAGTGGTGATGGCACGAGATGCTTGCTTGGAGTTGAAATGTAGAGATGATGATACTGTCAAAGGGGGAATGATGAGTAGGGAGAAATGGAGGCTTGGCTGAGAGGGGGAACAGGGGGAAGTTGCCTGAGCATGATTTGGCCAGTTTGAAGATTTGGAAAGAACCACCAAGGCAGACTGAGTATCAAAATTGAGGAAGGAGAAGAGGTAGTGGTGCCTTCCAGAAAAATGCCTTGGAGTTTTACGTAGTAGGCGGGCACTAAAGAATGAACGTCATTGAAGTCAAGCGGGCGATGGTAGGTAGCAATTGGTCTAGAGAATGCAACAGTATCGCTTCCCCACGATGACAGCAACCTAATCTCAGCTATATCCCGAGCACACTATTACTTTATTAACAATCTATCACAGCGAAATAGTGCCAACATGACAGGCTAGGTCGTGGATCGACAGATAGATCGAGGTTTTTAGTCTATGAATAGTATTATTCTAGGTTGGCAGCTCATCCAAGCTCTTCTGCATTATCTATTTGAAACGCTGAACACACTAGATATAGTGATTTGACAGATCGATATAGGCAGGACTGTCTATAAGTCGACGATATATACCGAGAGTTAATATTATTAATCAGAAACATCAACACGAACGGTTTTTGTTCTGTTGATCTAATCTGATCTCATTGTTCATGATATTCATTCTCAGTAAATGTAGCTGTTGGTAATTGACTGATTTAAAGCTGACACTATATGGGTTGACCTCGAACCAGCACAACACAATGCATTGCAAACCTAAGATACCCTAAACAATGAGACAAGACTATTGAACAAAGCTCACTTTACGTGATGGTGAATAAGCCAGCCATGACCGGAGCATTGTCTCATCAAGTGATAGCCCAGCCTCTAGGTAGTCCAGCTCAACGGCCCGGAAACTAGAATCGCTGTGGGAATGTGACTGACTGCCTGCCGTGACCCAATTCTGGGGGGAGGGATCGTCCATCTTACCGAGCAATGGCAGCTCAGGGCCTGGTCTTTGACGCCATCTTTGGCTCGAACCACCTTGTAACTATCCCTAGTCAACCTTACAGGCTTCTTACTGCAGGTACGGAACGCCTAGACTATGTACCTATGCGGGTCACTTGTCAAGGAGGTAAAAAGACATGGGTTCGGCTGGGCTGGGTTGACCAGAATAGTAATCGACGTCAGCGAAATTCGCGTAGATCTCCAGCTCTTAACCCCTGAAAACCCAACGGCCAAAAATAACAAGATACACCCGTCCTAATGCCATTTGCCCCACAACGTAAAGAGAAAGATCTTCAGTGAATTTCCAAAGATATCGTTATAACATAGGTGACTATAGGTAAACGAAAAACCTAAATAGGAGGGGAAATCTTTGCTGATCTATTTGAAAAATCTTTACCTAAATTACCATAGGATCTTCTCTCAACTCCGCCACTTAAGACTATCAAACTATCAAAGCTTTCTATTTCATAACCTCGCTTCCAATATTCGCATGAATGCATAAATGACCAATTTTACTCCCCCACGCAGCTGACTGACAGCTCAGCGCGCTTCCACGCCCTCGGTCAAGCCGCCTTTTAGTACGGTACGGCCCTTGCACGAATCTATTCCCAATTCTGCCGCCTACAGTTTTCTATCTCCATATTCCATCTCCCTTCTCCCAACGAGACGGTCAATTACCCGGCTATCGACGTGGGTCATCCATGCGAACCCTTGTCGCCATCCGTCATCTGCATCCGCATGCATCTTGCTGGTCGATGTCGATGACTTCTTTTTAGACTTTACACCCAAGGGGAAAAGAAAGGAAAAGAATTGCTATCCATACCTAGATCCCGTGCAGGTGTGTGATCTAGATTTGTTAGATGATTTATTTTATATAATTTTATATAACTTTATGAGAAGAAATGAACATAATCTAATTTTATTTATAATTTTAGTGTTTATGATAACATTTCCTAAGTTATGACCACGCTGGAGTGTACTCAGCTTCGTCACAAGCATGATCCAAATCCTTTGCAGAAGTTGTCAACACCATATACGGAAATCATCCCGTCACTAATCAAGTCAAATGATGCGTTATCTCGGCTTCAATTTCTCCATCTTCTCATTGTACCATAGCTATTTTACAACATGCATGAAAAATTACACCCAGTCTGCCCAGGTCAACTAATTGATTACAAAAAAAATGCTCCCTTCTTTGATAAAACAACGCCCATTTACCCACTACTTTAAGCAAAGTTATCCGATCGGTCCACCCAAATATCCTCCAGTTCCGCGAAGTTAACGAAATGCACTGGTCTGTGCTGGTCGCTATAGAACGGCAGTGGCGTATCCAGCTTGACGTGGACAGGCTTCTTCTCCATTCCATTAAACGCATTTCCCATAAAACTGTAGTTCCACCTGCCATCATCCGGTACCAAGAAGAATCCCCTGAACCGTGGGCTCAGCAACAGCTTTCGCTTCTCACCCATTGTCGTAGTAAATCCTTGAGGTTGATCACTCTGGGTGTCCTTATTCTCAGCTCCCCACTTGTAGCCAGCCGGTGTGAGGCCCCACGCCGATAGAGATACACTGCCAGGTGTGAATGCGACCGAGACCGTGACGGTGTTGGTCTTGTCCCACTCATTATGCGCATCGAGGAGCTTTGAGTGTTCTGTCACATCCATGGCAGACATGTAAGGTAGTTCGCTACCAGAGACGGTGTGGATCACACCCAGAGGCTCCATTCCTTCAAGGAACTCGCTCTGAGGAAGTTGCTGGGGTAGTTGGACGTTGCGGAGGCCGCCAATCTGCGGGATCATAACGATACACTTGATCTCCTTGACCTGGTCATTGTCGGGGGCTGAAGAACCGTACAGGTAGCCAGCGACTTGCACTCTGAGGTCAGCAATAGTGATGAAACGCTTCAGAATGTTGTTGGGCATGACGTAGGTGATGTCATCGAGATCATTATCAACCGACGAGACGTAGATGTTCTTTGCTCGTGTGCGTAAGTTGGATGTAGCAATAGCTCGTGTTCGCCATTCGGTCTTGGAGGCAAATGTTTG